CCTGCCCCTGCACAGGCTCACTTGGGAATTCAAGTCTGACACGTTTCAACCACCACGCTTTGTCCTAACTGCCCCTCTGTTACCCCTGCCATCCCCTGCCCCCTATTTTATCCTTTATCTATTTGTGGGGAATGGTGGGGGGGTCCTCCCACTTCTGAAGGGAGCAGCCTTTTGCTATCTGGGTGGATGGAGAGGGAGGGGGTGAAACTCACGGACCTGCCATGAAAGTAGGCTGGGGACCATAAGACATTTGGGTCCCAGACCCTAGGCTTGGCTTGAGTGGGTTTGAAGTGCAGCGTGGGGACATGGAAGCTCTTAGGGTTAAGGACAGCAGCTTGTCAGGGTAAAGTATTAACACCAACTCCTCCTCTCTTTTTCTAAGAGCATCCCCATATGAGTAGGCAGCATGGGCCAGCAGCTAGGGCAAGAGTTAGGTGTCAGGAAGCCTGGTTTCTAGTCTTGTCTCTCCCATGTGCTTGGCCAAAGCACTTTACCTCTCTATGCCCCATTCCCCGCATGGGGAATGGGACCAGTATCAGTGATCCACCTCTCTAGAGTGGTTTGAGATCTATAGGTGAGACACAACAATGTAAGTGCTACTAAGAACACCCGAAAAGCTGCTGATAATTCATGTGCTTTAGCTGGTGTTATTCATGACATCAATAGACATCTGAAAACTCGGTCTGCCTTTAGACCATATAGCTAGGAGCAGGTTCCCTGTAAGCTGGGCACTTGCGCGGCCAATCCTGGAGAGAGTCAGCTGCCACCCAGCTGATTAGCATCGCACCCAGAGTCGGCAGCATGTTTCTGCTGGTGGTGCATGTCTGCACATGCCTTGGTGCACATACAATGTATTCTGCACATGGGTGGAATAAATTAGAGAGAACATTGGCTAGGACCCTGTTTCTGACAGAGCCTGGAACTGGACATGATGCTGAATGAGAGGCAACGGAAGGTCCCCTTCCTCCAGAGAGAGGAGATGCAAGTGACCGTGAGAGGAAAGATACCATTGGGAGGTCTCTTTGCAAAGTGCCTGCCCTGTTCATGTCCACGCTGCAGAGCAGCACTGAGGACCACCTACGCTAGCTGAAGGAAGATGAGGCAGACTAGTGGTCGAAGCACAGCACTGGGGTCCAGGCATTCCT